GTGCTGAAACGTGCCTTAAAAACATTTCAAAAAAGCTTGAGGTAAAAATGCATTATAATAAATGCCTATCATGTATATTGGCTTATTAGTATAACTAATAGCATTGTATAACAGCAAACTTCTGAACAAATAATTCCATAAGTAATCATCAGAATTCACGGAGATATTAAGAGAGGAACCATTGTACTTACACTGGTCATAATATCACCTTCTCCGCCTCTACTTTTTCTGTCATAGAATTAAATAAATATTCTTTTAATCATACATAATTTTAACGATGACAGCTATTAATTAGTAAAATAAAACGTTATTTGCCTAATAATGTTTTATTCGGCGGCATATTTTTAACATTGAACGTATTTTCTCACGTAATCCTAACAACGCAAGATCGATTTCGGTGCTTCAAGTCGCCGAGCCCCCGCACTAACAGGAAATGCAGGAAACGTTTTCCAATTTCCACGTTTCATCGTCGGGGACAAGTCTGGGAAGGGTTGGAGGGAGAGACCGATCGATCGGCGTTGCAATAGCTGCATCGCCACCCCTTCATCTTCCGTTTTCAACATTTCAAATCGTAATTTTTTTTCCTCCAAAATCAATGCGAGATATATTAATGCAAGACACATTAAGTTAAATTATTAAAATAAAGTCGAAACCATTTTTTCGAGATCAGAAAAGAATATAATAAAATATTCCAAACATAATCGACGAGTCAATCGACATATTTTTTATCACATCCCTTTATCATTATGTCACAGAAATGAGGGCAACGTCATGGGCATGCCATCTTGCTCTCCTTCCTTTTCCTTCTTTGCTTTCTTCATCTCTATCTTCCTCGCCACCCCCTCTCCCCGCCCATTAATTAACAGGCTTTGTACTTTTAAACGATGTTAAATAAACGGTATTGTTCACGGGGAAAGGACTGAAAAGCGGGCGCCATTGTGCTTTAAGCTCGCTCCTCGTCCTCATCGTCGTCGTTGTCGTCGTCGTCGTCGTCAGCAGTAGAAAGAAGGAAAGAGAGGCTGAAGGAGTATTGCCCGCGAATGCCAACTTACTAATACCATCAGTGCTGAGAAGTCTTTGTTCTAAACAAATACGTCGAATATCTCGTCACCCCCACCGCCCATCCCACCGCCTCTCTCTTGTTCGACCGTGCCACCTGCCTTTCAGACGGGAAAACGTGTATCGATTGGATAAGCCATAATATAAATAGAGAGCAAAGCTACCCCCTTCGCGGGACCGGAAGTCGCTTGGGCTTTTTGATTCCGTACACAAATCTACGCGACCTATGAATCATCAACTCAAAGCTGCTATTTCTGAAATAACAAACATGTTTTTAGGAAATGACTATCTTTTTATATTTCAAAAGATTATATTTACATTAAATTGGACAAAACTGTCATTTAATAATATCAAAAATATTACAATAAAGTTTCGTATTTTACCAATACTGACATCATAGTCAAGCAAAATAAAGAAACGCCAAATATCTAAAGAATTTCGGAAAAAATATATGTTTCAAGAGGTTTTATTTATTAAGAATAGTAGTTCGATCCCGGCACAGGCTGTGTTATCAGTTCGCTATTGTCTCGAAAGACACAACGTCGGATTCTCATCCAGCATTTGCCGATACCTTTCTTCGGAGTTCATTGTGCGCTACCACGTATCCGTATTGTCCAACAGCCGACGTGCTCTGTTGTTGTTAGCAGGCAGTAACAACAACAGGAGGAGCAAGGGATTTGTGGGGTTCACTGTGAATCCTCGGCACCCTGCGCTCTTATCAGTTTCTCTCTATTGCTTTTCTCCTCTTTTATTTTTCTCTTTTTTTGATCTTTTAGTTTCACAAAATAATTGTCTGAAAGTGATGGTAATTCGTTAATTTCTAAAAAGTTTAGATTTTCTACTTACAATCTTACTTAAGTTATTCAAGTTATTCTAAAAAATGTTATTTAAGTTTGTTTATTTTTTCTTTCCCTATTTTTCTATATCGAAAATTTTTATCTCGTCCGAATGAAACTTTATATTCTATCGGCCGTTCAGAATATTACTTCGCTTTCTTTCCTTTCTTCCGGCAACTTTTTTATTCGTGTCCGGTAATCCTGACCAAAGCTACTACATGAAAGGAAAGATATTAAAGTCCTCATGTGAAACTTGGAGAGTACGAAAAAGTCGCTCTCTTGACAACTTCACGACCGGTTCACCCTGAACAAATCCCGAATTAAAACCTCGAATTGAGCCATTTCGTTTGACAACAACAAATTTTCTTCGCGGATTCCTATTTCCAAGATAATCAACATCGGCGCTTCTCGTGTAATTTATGTTTTCAATTTTTTTTTTTTAATAAGCCTTGGATATTTCTTAAGAAGTCTTTCTAAAAAAAAAATTATTCTAAGGATGTAAATTTAAAGAAACGCAAATCAGATATTCTGGATTCCGTATTCGATCTTTTTATAACAATCCTTTTACTATCGAATTTCTCAACAAAATCGGTCTCCAGTAAACAGCTGTGAGTTTCGTAGCGTCGCGACACCGACGTCTCACCGTGGCGGCCATTGTTGGCAGCGTCGCAGTGCAAATCCCGGGCGCATTGTACCGCCGTTGCATCAGCCTCGGCATCGGGGTAGGTATCGCACCTCGCTACCAGCGGGTTCCGCTTCCAGAATGCCAGAACCGGGGCTTCGCGCTTTGTGCGCGCCTCGGCGGCCGACAACAAGTGGTAATTAATTCTGTGCAAAACAATCAGCTCGGTAGCTAGTGGAGGGAGACGCAGAGAATGGCGAAGGGGTTAAAAACGATTCGCGATTTATCCCTTCCATCCCTCCGTCCCTGAGGCTCGCCGTGAAATCCCAAAAGCGTTTGAACGCGAACCGCAATGGTGTATGAAACGCAATACCGGAAAAGCAATAATTAATCATATAATGATAATTTTAAACTTGCTACTGAATTTGTTTCTCGCAATTATATCTGATATATTATAATTAAAATAATAAACAGTAATTAATATATGCTCGAGAGTATCAATATTTGAGAATCAATTCTAGAAATTTAAATGATAAATATTCAAGAAGAGTTCAAGTTTATAGCGATGCATTAAATGCCGAGAAAATTAGGACTTTGTATTATTTTATCAGTTTGACGAAAAATGAAATCGCGTCTAATCATAAAAAGGAAAGAACAAGAAAATTTAGGTATCCTAATATAAATAAACTTAAGATAATGCATAATGATATAATGTAAAGATAATATTACAATAATACAAATTTTGTTAACTTGAATTACCGATATTATTGTAACATTCTTTATACTATTATATCATTAATCTGTATTACATTAAAATTTACTTGCATTAAGATGCTTAAATTTTCTCATTCGCTTTCTTTTTTTAAAGTAGAAGTCAATTTTCGTCAACTGATATACAAAGTGCCAACTTTCTCAATATTCTTAATATGCGTATCATAAATGATTTCTCTTTTCTTAAATATGTATCATTCAAATTGCAAGAATCGACAATTCTCAAATATTAACTTTCAAATATGTTAATTACTATTTACTATTAATTACAATATACTGAATACGGTTATAGAAAACCAGAATAAAACTCGTAAAATTAGACAAATTATCCAATTAATTAATTATTTAATATAAGAGGTCTGTTTTTATTGCTGCATTCTGAACCGGTGCAATAAGCTGAAGTGAAATAAACGTATATTTGTTTCACTTCAACTTATTGCACTGTGTGTACTAGTTCAGAAAGTGCAGCAATAAAAAACAGACTTACGTTTTGCAGAGTGATTGTTTCATCTACACATGTAAATAAATATGTGACCGCAAAAGATATAAGTATCTCATGATACTTTCTATTGAAAAATTTAATTAAAAGTATAAAAATATTATAGTTAAACTATCCAGTAGAAGTGAACGATTTAATAAAATATGATAATTTATATAAAAACGCAATCTAAATGACGTTTTAATGACATCTTTAGT